GAGCTAGTGACCAGTGTTTGTTCAGGGCACTGGCTGAGACCAGAAGGAACCTGTGCCACTGCTGAGGTGGCAGTTCCTGCGTCCCTACATCCCACTGGTCCCAAATACTCCTGAAGTTAGGGTGTTGGGGCAGATATTGTGGCCTCCTCACCTATGATTCTGGGTGTGTTAGAGCACATGGGAGTTGAGCTTCTTCTGGATGTTGTGGAATTGGGTGAGGAGTTATTGCCCAAGGTCTGCTCATGGCACTGGCTTGGACTGGAAGACAAATTGATCCATACTTATCTCCTTGTACAAAGCTCAAGTTCAAGTGGATCAAGGCACCACATAAAACCAGATACACTTAAACTAATAGAAGAAAAAGTAAGGAAGGGCTTCCAACACATGGGCACAGGGAAAAGGGTCCTGAACAGAATATCAATGGCTTATGCTCTGAGATCAAGAATCAACAAATGAGACCTCATAAAATTGCAAAGCTCCTGTAAGGCAAAGGACACTGTCAATAGGACAAAATGGCAGCCAACATATTGAGAAAAGATCTTTACAAATCCTCCATCTGATAAATGGCTAATATCAAATATGTATAAATAAGTCAAGAAGTTAGACTCCAGAGAATCAAATAACACTATTTAAAACTGGTTTACAGAGATAAACAAAAAATTCTCAACTGAGGAAACTCGAATGCCTGAGAACCACTTAAATAAATATCATCAGGGAAATGCAAATCAAACTAACCCTGAGATTTCACCTCACACCAGTCAGTATGGCTAACATCAAAAACTCCAGTGACAGCAGATGCTGACAAGGATGTGGAGAAAGAGGAACACTCCTCTATTGTTGTTATTTCAAGCTGGTACAACCACTCTGGAAATCATTCTAGCAGTTTCTCAGAAAACTGGACATTGTAATACCTGCAGACCCAGCTATACCACTCCTGAGCATATACCCAGAAGATGCTTCAACATGTAATAAGGACACAAGCTCCACTATGTTCTTAGCAGCTTTATTTATAATAGCCAGAAGCTGGAAAGAACCCAGATGCCCTTCAACAGAGGAATGGATATAGAAAATGTGGTACATTTACACAATGGAGTACTACTTAGGTATTACAATTAATTCATGAAATTCACAAGAAAATTGATGGATTTACAAAATTTCATCCTGAGTACAGTAACTCAGTCATAAAAGAACACACATGGTATGCATTCACTGATAAGTGGATATCAGCCTAAATGCATGGAACACCCAAGATACAATTCACATATCACATGAAGCTCAAGAAGGAGGACCAAAGTGTGGATTCTTCAGTCCTACTTAGGAGGGACAACAAAAAAATCAAAAGAAGTTAAGAGTCAGAGGGACTTGGGAGGAAGAGAACAGGGTGAGGAAAAGAGAGGGGAAGGAAAAGGGGGGGCTTGAAAGTCAACTATATTTGATATTAGAATGGCTACTCCAGCTTGTTTCTTGGGACCATTTGTTTGGAAATTTTTTTCCAGCCTTTTACTCTGAGGTATTGTCTGTCTTTGACACTGAGGTGCATTTCCTGTATGCAGCAAAATATTGGATTCTATTTACATATCCAATTAGTTATTCTCTTATTTTTTTAATTGGGGAATTGAGTCCATTAATGTTAAGAGATATTAAGGAATAGTGATTGTTGCTTCCTGTCATTTTTGTTGTTAAATGTGTAATTATATTTGTGTGGCTATCTTCTTTTGGGTTTGTTTTGAAGATTACTTTCTTGCATTTCTAGGGTGTAGTTTCCCTCCTTGTGTTCAACTTTCCATCTATTAACCTTTGTAGGGCTACATTTGTGGAAAGATATGTAAATTTGTTTTTGTCATGGAATATCTTGGTTTCTCCATGTATGGTAATTGAGAGTTTTGCTGGGCATAGTAGACTAGTCTGGCATTTTTGTTTTCTGAGCATCTGTATGATATCTGCCCAGGATCTTCTGGCTTTTGTAGTCTCTGTTGAGAAGTCTGGTGTAATTCTGTGGTTTCACTAATATGTTAATTGACCTTTTCCCTTACTACTTTTAATATTCTTTCTTTGTTTTCTGCATTTGGTGTTTTGATTATTATGTGACAGGAGGGATTTCTTTTCTGGTCCAGTCTAGTTGGTGTTCTCTAGGCTTCTTTTAATCTCATGAGCATCTCTGTCTTTAGGTTAGGGGAATTTTCTTCTATAATTTTGTTGAAGAGATTTACTGGTCCTTTAAGTTGGAAATCTTCAATCTCCTCTATACTTATTATCCTTAGGTTTCATCTTTTCATTGTGTTCTAGATTTCTTGGATGTTTTGTGTTAAGAGCTTTTTTCATTTTGAAACTTATTTGAGAGTTGTGTCAATGTTTTCTATGATATCTTCTGCACATGAGATTCTGTCTTCTACTTCTTGTAGTCTGTTGATGATGCTAGACTTCTGATCTCTTTCCCAGGTTTTCTATCTCCAAGGTTGTCTCCCTTTGTGATTTCTTTACAGTTTCTATTTGCATTTTTAGATCCTGGATGATTTTCTTTAGTTCCATCACCAAACATCACCTGTTTGGTTGTGTCTTCCTTTAATTCTTTGAGGGACTTTTTGTGTTTCCTCTTTAAGGGCTTCTGCCTGTTTGCCTGTGTTTTCCTCTATTTCCTTAAGGAAGTTAACTGTGATTTTAAAGTCCTCTATGATCATCATGAGATGTGATTTTAAATATGCATCTTTCTTTTCTTGTGTGTTAGGTTATCAAGGACTTGCTGTGGTGGCATAACTGAATTCTGATGATACCAAGAAGCCTTGGTTTCTGTTACTTAGGTTCTTATGCTTACCTATTGCCATCTGGTTATCTCTGATATTAGTTGCTCTTGCTGTCTCTCACTGGAGCCTATCCCTTCTTGAGACTATGATCCTGTGATTTTAGGTGTGCCATCATCACTGGGAGACCAGTTCACTCCAGGTGGGATTTGGGTACAGAGAGCTGTGCCACAGGGTTAACTCTGGGGTGCAAAGTGAGATGAAAAGGCTCCTGTCCCCAGATGTTCTGTGGTCCCTGTGCCTTGTGGTTTTCTGGCAGGTCCCTCTATAGCCAGTTATTAGAACAAAAGTGTTGGTCTCGCCTGTGAACTTAGGAGTGACCACAGTCCTGTGAGAACAGCTCTCTTTGGGCAGGATTTGGGTACAGAAAGCTGTGCCACAGAGTTATCTCCAGAGTGAAGATAGAGACTAGAAGCCTTGTATTCTTGAAAGAGTTGTGAGAATGGATTACTAAATTTACTCTTAAAACACATTTTAAACATAACCTTAAACTGGTAAAAATCTCTAAATTTTAATACAAAATTGAATTATAATTTCTTACATTGGTGCAAAATTTTATATTGATACAAGTTTAAAGCTTGCACTGGTATAAATTTTTGTATATTGATACAAAATTTAAAATTAATTTTGTTACTCTTAGATAGGCATTGTGTCTCCACTACTCATTCTTTAAGTAAGTCAAATGTTGCCCCTTCAAATAGAATTATCTTGCCTTTTGTAGGGACTGGTGCCAAAACAGAGATTCATGTGTGTAATGAGAATTCAGACTAGCATATTGGTAAAAGTCTAATAAACCTTGTCAGAATAAAAGAGACTCTTGAGGAAGCCATAGATATCTAGTAAAGTATAAAGGTTTGCATTTCAGGTATCAAAAATAATTACATCAGTGGGGGAATGAGTCTAAAGTTAATATACAGACCATCCCATACCCACACACACACAAATCAACAGAATATTGGTGACATAACAATGTTGTAAAGTTCCAGGTCAGAATTTATGAATCTTGTGTCATTGTCATTCTCTCTGTAACAGTGACCCTGAGTGCTCTGCTGCTGTACCACAAACACAAAAGAACCTTCAAATACAAATAGAATTCAGACTTTGCAAAGGCAAAAACTACAAATCTTTCTTAGAGTGGGTTTATCAATCAGAATCAGCCTGATTGATTTGGTCACTGAATATCACAGAAAACACATTTTTGTAAAGATGTGCCCAATACTATGAGACTTGTAATCTTATCCTAGCCTTTGTGTTCTGCCTATCGGCTGCTGAGCTCTAAGTAGTGAGCAAAGTAAATAGATATAATGAAATGAAATGCCTCAAAACATGACTGGTCAGCCTGTTGAGTAGAGTGAGAAGGAAAGAGTCCCACATGGAAAGTCTAAGAATTTAATCATCACTAAGCTGACAGAAATGTATGTGTAGCACAGGCACTAAAGGTCAAGTACACGCATTACTACATATGTGGTAAAAGCAAATGTTGTTTTAAACATAAAGACATTGATACTTAGGTTAAAGAGAAAATACTGACTGATGAATAGAAATTCATTGGGGCTGGAAGGATGGCTCAACAGTTAAAGACCATTAGCTGCTCTTCCAGAGATCCAAGGTCTGATCCCAAGATATGAATATAAATAATGCACAGACATTGCAGGAAAAACACTCATACACATATAATAAGTAATTTTTAATTCCCTCATAACATGCAAATTTGGCTTTCACATAGGTCGACATATACTTCTGCTTGAAATACCAGAATTTAGGGAGTTTGGGTGGATTTGATCCTTTATTATTCTCAACACTTTATTCTCTAGGATGGTCAAGAATCTCAGGAATGAAGTTGCTAAAGTGTCATCTCTGGACCTAACATTGAAAGAAGTTGTACATTTCTCCAGTCAATGGCATTATTTGAGCACTTTGGAGGTAGAAGTAAGTGGATCTCTATGAGTTCAAGGCCAACCTGGTCTACAAACCTGGCAAGTTTCAGATATTGTTATATAGAGCGTCTATGACTTAAAAAAAGAAGAAGGAAAGAGAAAGTGGAGGAGGAGAAGACAAGGAAAGAGTTCGGCATTTCATCAGTTCTCTCTGCTCCTGAGCTGTCAATCATATTTTCCTACAAACGTCATTTTAAAAATCGTTTTAAATACAGTCCATTTATTTCATACTCTACAACTAACTAACCTGACCCATATTAACATAATGCTTCCAAGCAACACCATCTTTCAGATCCTTCTCATATTCCAGTTTTGTCTTGGTGTGATAGGAAACTCATCACTGTTAATGTTATATATATACATGTTCCTTTTCAGGCCTCATTTTAAGAAGTTAATAGATTCAGTTTTCCTGCACCTGACAATAGTTAATCTGTCAACAATCATGTTCACATTGATAAAAGATATCATGTTTTCCTTTAGAGTACCCAATTTTCTGGACGATATCGGTTGTAAGGCAGTTTTGTTTTCATTCAGAATCAGCCGGGGTTTGTCCATCTGCACAACCTCTGTTCTAAGCATATTTCAAGTCATTACTATCACTCCCAGTAATTCTAAGTGGGCCTGGCTTAAACCTAGACTCTCTAGATGGATTTTTTATTCCTTACTTTGCTCCTGGCTTATTAACCTTTTCATCTACGGATATATGCTTGACTTGGTAATTGCCAAAACCAATTTTACTCAAATTGGCCATGGTTATTCACATGGTTATTGTCAAAACAAAAAATTTCAGAAGGATGACTCAGGGTCATTTTTTAGCCTTATCATCACTCATGATCTCTTCTATGTGGCCAT